GTTTTGAAGGGGAGGGGTGGTGGTGACAAAGTTTACGTTTACCCACATTTAGTTCATTTCTTTCCAACTCCAGCCATCTTAACATCAGTTTCAAGAGTATTTTCAACATTTACGATAACTGTTACAGATGAGGTGGCGTGCGCTGATCCAGAGAGCTGTGAGAGGGCGTGCAGCAACAAGCAAGGCTGTACGAACATCGCATACCCGCTACTGGTGCTTAGGATGTTACCTACAGGTGAGAGAGAGGGAGAGAGAGAGAGAGAGAGAGAGAGAGAGAGAGAGAGAGAGATAAGGGGATTGAGAGAGACACAGAAAGAGAAACGGGATGAGAAAAAAAAAAAACAAGAGTAAGTCCAATGTACCTTTATGGAAATATGTTAACAAATATATGGCTTACAATACAGACGTACGAGAAAGCTAAACACTGGACTCTGAACAGTCTGAGCGGGAAAGTTTCAAAAACAGAACACAAAACAAAACCAGTGAAAGAAAGGACGAAGAGCGTGTGGCAACGAGGAAACGGGGTCAAGAGATCTTGTCTGGGAGCTGACCACAACACGAGGACTAGTCGATTATATCTTAGATTGCCTCGATTTTATTCGAAGATTGGCGCGATTATTGGTAGGAAAAAATCTCTCCAGGTCAATGGGTTGCTCATTTCTTTCACCTGGCCCCGGTTGGGTTTATGTCAGTCCGATGCTGAAAGCCCACGGACATACATTTATTAATGCGTTCTAAATCTCTGGCGTTGTTGAGTAGTTGATATTCACGCCGAATAACAGCTGGAAAGGGTGGTGAGTGTTTAAAAGTTACATTGCCGCTGAGTAACCTTTAGTACTGTTTAATCTTATGTAAATTACACAGTTGTACCTGCGTGTGCCCACGCGTGTGTGTGTATGTGTGCGTGTGTGTGTGCGTGTGTGAGTGTGTGTGAGTGTGTGTGAGTGTGTGTGAGTGTGTGTGAGTGTGTGTGAGTGTGTGTGTGTGTGTCTGTGTGTGTGATGAATAATGGTCTTTGTTTGAAACAGTCTGAAGCTTAATATACAACCTTTCTGTAATTTTCTCAGACAATGCATGCGTGTCCGGTCGATTCTGCTCTAACAGCCATTTACATACAACCACCTTTACAAAAGTGTGAGGCGGCGTGGTGGAATCAGGCTCTTGTCAAAATAATGAAATTGAAGAAAACAGCAGTTTTCTCCCTGCTTAGCAATTTTTATCAAATTTTTGTTTTTAGACTCAACACCTTTTATGTCTATTTACAAACAACTTATTTTGAGGATTTCACCGAAAACGTTGATTAAAGGCACAAAAATATAAATTTACAGTTTCCATGGACTCTCCGGCTTTGGAATTTACCAAGCTTTGGCGGCCATTTTCTCGCTAATTTTACCTCTTAAATCAGGTTACCCCCACCCCCTTCAATCCAAAATATCTCCACTTCTATT